GTTCCTAAAAGTCACTAGAGCAACACACTATCTCTGACTTCTGAGGCATGCTTTTTATTTAATCTCCCTTTAGCCAAGCTTGCTAGTGCTCTTTGCTCAGAAAGCCCATAACATGCAGAAACATGAAAATGTTCATAGGTAATTATCTTCCAACACTGCAAGAGCCGACTCAGAAAAATCAACATGTAACCTGTTCATAGGTCTTGGTATACATAGAATTTAGCTCAGAGGATGCTGGGTAAATACTCAAAAAATAAAAATGTAGGTGTGAAAAGGTGGGGCAGGAATGAGATGAGGGGAAGAGAGGACCATTTTCATTTCCATTTGAGTCCCAGTTTCAGCCCAGAAAGTCCAGCCTCCCAGGAAACCCCTCAATCTGGACAAATCAGGAAGTCTCTCTACACATGGGAGCACCTTCCTCTCTCAAGGACTTTATTATCTAGAAAGAAATCAGTGCCACATCATTATGAAATATTTAATCATGCCTTAAGGAAAGTGAGAATATAGGAAAATGAGAGAGACTATGCAGCTGGAATATCCAGATATCAGTTAGTGCCATTGAAGATGGCTAGTATTGTTTTTACAAATCCAACACTAGGTATTTCTGGGAAATGCCAGTCTGGACTTTTCTTTTTGCTTTGTAGTTCCTAAATTTTCACTAAACACTATTACTTCTATAATGATAAACATATAACACTACCCCTTGCCCCCAACCAGAAACAATTTAAGTAGATTTCAAATATACATTAAAGTAAAAAGGATATAAGAAATATTACTAATTTTACCACCCAGAGATAACCACAGTTTAACATTTTTGATAGGTATGCATCTAAGATAGTGTTTCTCAAAGAGGGTGATTTTGCCACCTGGGGGACATTTGGCAGTGTCTGGAGACATTTTTTATTATCACAACTGAGGGAAGATGTTACTTGTATCTGGTGGAGAGTGGCTAAGGGTGCTGCTAAACACCCACAGTGTTCAGGACAGCTGCTTCTTCCCCAACAGAGTTATTTAGTAGTTAGTAGCTCCATGGTTGGGAAACCCTGATCTAGGATTTACGTATGGTTTTGGTTTGAATTTACAAAAATGGTACCAAACCTATGTGTCACTCTGTAATCTGAACATGTAATCTTTCTTCAGGCAGAGAAGGGAACAGACAGTCTAGGCAAAGGGAATAAATACATTTCAAAGACAAGAAGACTCAGAGCATATTTGGAAATAAAGCATGTAGTAATAAAATCACGGTTGCAGAATACATCGTTGCAGTTGAGAACCAGGCTTTGGAGTGAACAAATGGGATTTGAAGCTTAACTCCATCTCTTTGGATCAAGGGGCTGAGTAAGAGCAAAGATGAGATAGGGGCTTAACAAGCCATTAATCCTCTATTAGCCTCAGTTTCCACAGATTTAAGTTGAGGAACAATGACACCTACTTCAAAGGATTATTGTAAGCATTAAAAGAGGTAATGGTTGGCAAACCTCTTGCATCTGGTAGCTGTTCAATAAATGGTGACTATTGTTACTATTATTACTGCTACCTTTTTATTGTCAAAGCATAGATATAGGAAACGACAAATATATATAAGTGTATAGCTTAGTGAATTATTATAAGGCACACCCCTCCCCCCTTGTAAACACCATATAGCTCAACTTTACACTCATGTATGTAATGTGTGCTATACTATTATTTTAAATATATTTGGTGGAAGAGTAATGATAGTTTGGGATGGAGAGACAGTGTGTCACAGTAGAGTTTTTTTTCTTTTGTTTCCATTTGGTATATTACCATTTGGTATATTTATTTAAGTTGTCTTTTAAATATCTGAGTAAAGTTTTATCTTACATTTAGGTGGGAAAGGGTGGGAAGCCCTTAGCGGATGAGTGGGTCACTACTATGGGCACCTGGAGCTCAGCACTCTGGGAGTCCTTTGACAGACAGTGTAGAACACACTTCATTGTCCCACCAAGAGACAAGGAAGCTAGTCTATTTATCTAGCAACTCTTGGCCCTCATTTGAAGGTCAGTCTTGAGGCATTAACTCTCCAGTCCTTCTGGTGAGCAGACATTCTCTTGTAGCTGGAGAAAGTTCTCAGAGTGATGCTTTTGAGTGTTGGGAACTGTCTGTGGGTGAACTCCAGGGTGGGCTAAAGGGATATGGGCACGACACTGATATTTTGTGCTACTATTATGTGACATGATCTGCTTTCCTGTCTCTGAATAGAAGACCATAGTACTTAACTGCACTGGATTACTGGGAAGATTAAGTGCATTAGAGTTTATAAAGTGCCTCTCGTAGTTCCTGGAGCATAGTTGTTGCTCAAGAAATGATCGTTTTGTAGCAATAAGGTAACATGAGGGAAGAGTGGCTCTTCCTTTGTGGCTGACTTAAGACTTGTTTCTATCATTATAACTTATATTAGAGAAGACAGTTGACTGGAGTTAGAGGGGCAATCTATGGCCTTAGGAATTGTGAGCTTTTCCTTGAGTGAAGCTACCCACTTGTGTGGGGACAAAATCTATTCCTTACAAGCATCATAAAGTCAACTAGCTTAGTAAGATATAATTAAATTGTTTTCTCAGTAATAAAGCTTTTGCCAATGGCTTGTACATATTGTTGCCTGGTAGGGAAAATAAAGCTTTCACGGAACAGTTATTTTGCCTGTAGCTATAAAGGATATTTACCAGTTCATGCTGAATCTTAGAACATATCCAGGTTGACATAAATGTTCATCTAAATGTGTTTTTTTACCTTTGTGCTAAAATATAATTGTAGGTATTATTATACCATAGGCATGTGCTTGCTTACTAGGAAATGGAAAGTTGTGGGGAAGGTAATATTTACCTGCTTGCATCAGGGGATGGGATGGGTGGGCTTGGAAGGCATGTGGAAAATAGGAAGTGAACTTGGTGAACAGTATTCATGATGAATAAAGAACTGAGCTTTATTTTAAATTTTGTTTTATTTGGGATGACTGGGGTGGAGTTGAATATGGCCAATGTTGTTTACAACGTGAGTTCCCTCCAGCCAAGACCTGCAGGGAGAGTTAGGGTTGTGCATGTCGGTGTGGCAGGCACAGGAGGTTAACTGCACGCCAGCCTTTCCCTCTCTTCTGTGCTAACAGACCCTGATTTTGTTCTTGGGGAAGGTGGACTAGTCTCAGTGGATGAATCAAGTTTGGTTCAAGCCAGTCATCCTATTAGATCTATTAGATCTTGGGGAAGATGGACTAGTCTCAGTGGACCAATCAAGTTTGATTCAAGACAATCATGGTATTGCATTTATATTTCCTGGTGTTTGGTATGAGGTGGCCAAGTGGCCTAGAAGACCAATGGGGATTTTAGGAAATATTTTCTCTCTGGTAAAAAGAGAGTGATGGAGGAGAAGAGGCCTGCTCTTTTACTTCTCCATATTGTATTGGGGTTGTATGAAGACATGGTGTTCGGTACTGTGGCAGCTCTTATGTGACCATGAGGGGACATCTCCATCACATTGAGAGTGACAGAATGGAAAGAGGAAAAAAACTTGCGTCCTTGATGCGTCACTAAGTTTCTGGATCAACCTGGGACTACACATCTCTGGTTTCTTATAATGTGAGACCCACTTTTATTATTATTATTATCATTATTATTATTTGTTAATCCTCACCCAAGGATATTTTTTTCCATTGCTTTGCAGAGAGAGTGGCAGGGAGGGAGGAAGGGGGAGAGAGAGAGAGAGAGAGAGAGAGAGAGAGAGTAACATTGATGTGAGAGATGTGAGAGAGACACATCGATTGCTTGTCTCCCGACCGGGGTGGGGAGAACTTGCAACCTAGGTATGTGCCCTTGACAGGGAATCAAATCCTGGACCCTTTGGTCTATGGGCCGACCCTCTAACCACTGAGCAAAACTGTCCAGGGTGTGAGACCCACTTTTGATGAGATACTCTGTTTTTGATGTGCAAAGCATTTTGATTGACAGAGCTCTAGATAAAGAACAAGTCTGGGAGAATATCAAAGACTCTGATTTTGAGAGCAAGTATCTGTGGGAGAGAAGAAGAGCTGAGGCAGAATCGGGACTCCTGGAGAGGGCTCAGTCACCACTGACCGGGATAGTGAGAGGATCAGGACTCCTGCTGATCAGGAGACCTGGTAGTGCTCCCCACTTCTAGAAGGTGAGTGAGAGCAGGAGTGAGACAGAGGAGGCCACTTTGGCAGGCACTGGGATGGTGCAGCCATGGCAGGCAGGCCTTACAGTTCTCTCCACGGGAGGCTCTGGAGTTAATGTCAACATGATGTTACAGCTCTGAGAGCCTGATGGTGGTGGTAGAGGAAAGACACTTACCCTGATTGGTCTTCTAAGAGAGAAGACCCTGGGGATGGAGTTTCTGGAGACCATTTCTTCTATGTCCCCCATATATGAAATAATAGACATTTGGAAAGTGGGTTGGGGAACCTTGATATTTGCTGTGGCATTGTTTTCCCCTGAGCAGGGAGAAAGACAAAGACAGAAGAGGTGCAGTGCTGATAGAAATGAGAATGCCAGAGACAAGCATGTTTTCCAAGGTTCCCAAGGGACTGTGTGGGGGCTCACTGCAGGGCCTCAGACTCCTGGCAGGATGGAGGGGGAGGTTTGTAGAGTGCCCCTGTCCATCCCGTCACTGACAACTTCAGTTCCAGAAGCACCAGGAGTGTGAATGTAACAACCAGAACCAGAGGCTTCCTGCTTACGGATATGGGGGGGAGGTAGACCAAAATAACTGCACAACACTAATAGCAGACTCTGAGAAGCCACCCCTTCTCTCCCGGAGCCCCTTCCTACACACCCCATCTAAGTAATTTCTAATCTTGTGAATATTCACAGAAAGAAGAACAGAAGTTATGGCGTTTGTAGTAACAGGATGAGAAAGTGCGAGACTTCCTGTTATGTGTGTGTGACAGCTGGTGATAAGTGGAGGGCCCTGCACAGGAAATCCGCTCAGCTTCTGCAATGTGACCTGCCTGAAACTTGGGCGCTCCTCCAGTCTGGATGTTGATGGCAGGACAAGGGGGCGTCTGGACTATGGGCGACGTGGTAGAGAAGAGTTTGGAAGGGCCCCTGGCACCTCCTACAGATCAACCCTCCCAGAAAAGGGGAGACCTGGTAGAAATCTTAAACGAGGACAAGGCAAAGTTTGACGACACGGGACTCTCCTTAATTCTGCAGAATGGCCTGGAGACCCTCCGAGTGGAAAATGCTCTAACAGATGTCATCTTGTGTGTGGACATTCAGGAATTCTCCTGCCACCGCGTGGTGCTTGCTGCAGCCAGCAACTACTTCAGGTCAGCACGCCTAAGACCAGAGTCGAATTGGGTGCAAGTAGCCAGGAATCTCTGTATTGATGTGAGAGCCCAGTCGAACGAGCTGGCTCTTGCGTTTGTGGTTTGTATATCTATTTCGGCTTGTGTGTCTAGTCAAGATGCAAGAAAGGGAGCTATTCAACCTTAGGTTTTAGGATTTAAGCCGCATTAAAACAGAGATTGGTATTATTTAAAAGCAATGTTTATATATTTTGATAAATCTTCTGTGTGATATGTCCTTGTTCCAAAGGACGGAAAATTACTGAAGTCACGGGGATTTTTCCCCTCTGGTTTGACTAGTGTGTTAGAAACATGATGTTGTCTTTGTTCACCAATAAGGTAGAGAAAAGGATGTGGCCCCTCTTTTGCAGTTTTCAAATGACTTGCTGAAAATTAAGGTTTTCTGTTCGTGCTGAGGGGGTGCGTGAGAAGAGAAGCTGTTAAAAAGGTGCTTCAGAGGCGAGAGGCTCCCAGTTACAACAGGCTCGGAGGCCTGGGTTCCATCCCACTCTGCCCCTGCCTGACCACGGGGCTTTATGCAAGTCACTCAGTGCTCCGAGTTACTGTTTTGTCATCTGTAAGATGGAAATAATGATGACTGCCTTTCAGGATTGTTGTGATAATTAAATATGAGAGGGGTAAAGGTCTCACACACTGCCTAGCATAGTGGAGACGCTCACTGTATCTTTGTTTAAATTCATCACCTCATTTTGCTTGGTGCAGCGAAGAACCATTGCAAACGCCTGAGGTAGGAATGTGGGAGACTCAGGGGCCCGGTGAATACAGCTGGAGATGCTAAGTGGCAGACAGACATAGCTACCAGATTTTATTTTTGCAACAGCACAGTGAAGGGTGCTGATATGCCCTTTTACAGAGGAGGAAATGGAAACCTAATATTACAAGTCCAGTCATTGCTAGAACAGGGATCAAGCACATTCTGGAAATTCTTGTTTTTACTGCAATACAAACTGCCACTACATTTGGGGCTTCATTCCACAGGAAGTATATACAAGGTAAAAGCACAGGCACAGCCATAAAGGTGGGTTGACATGATAAACACATTACTTACTCCACCAATATGGACCATATGCTTTCACATCGATCTCAACCCTGTTCAGGAGTGAATGAAAGTCAACTTGGCTCAGTGTCTTGAGGACTCATTTTTAGATTTATTATTTCTGTTTTGAGTCACTAGAAAACAGCTATCACGAAATGTATACCCAATTAGTAGTGTCATTAGTGGCTCCTCCCAGGTATGGATCAGGACTGCCGGCTGTGTGCTCTAGAGTACATCACTGACTTCTCTGATCCTTGGGTTTCTCATCCTAAACAGATGATGTGTGGGCTCAGTCCTTCCAATCCTGCTCCTGTGGGCTACTTAGGGAAGGAAAGTCTCTGCCAGTCCTCGGAGGAGGCAGTGGCAAGGAGAAGCTGGAGGCGCCCATGTGGCGCATGTTTCTGCCTGTGGCTGAAGGGTCTCTTCCAAAACTGCCTGATCATGAAGGGAAATTCATACTAATCTTTTCTTCAGAACAGTGACTTTTGACTCTTACCTTGGTATATCCAAGATTGTCCTCTTCTCATGAACACATTAATCCTGGAGACAGGACTCCTTTTCCCGGTGCTACTATTAATAAAAACTTCTGTTGTTGAGCACTCACTGTGGCCTAGGCCCTGTGCCCCCCATGTCACATACAACCCTGTCCCACAACAACCCTGGGAGGCAGGGAATTTCATCCCCATTTACAGATGAGCAACCAAAGTCCGAGTGTCTCAGTTAACAAAGTGGCCAAGAGGGATTTATTTGAACCAAGACTGACCTTAACTCTGACATTGCCTCACTGGGTGTCTTGCTTTGTTTCTAAGATTTTGAAAAGGGTTGAGAGCCAAGTTCCCTTTATGCTCAGGCTTTGGAAGGGCAGAGAGTCTGCTCTGTCTGAGAGGCTCTGACTCAGCCCTCTGAGCTTAGGAGGGCCTGGAAGCTGCTTGTAAAATTATGTAGGTTTTTATTAAATCTTTATTCATTGAGAACATAAATATTTCCCACTAAGTGATTGAACCATGTTTTATTTAACCAGTTACCTACTGACAGGCGTTTGGACTGTTTTTAATCCTTTGCTTTTACAGACAGTGTTGTAATGAAAAATCTTATGTATATGTCATTTCATAAGCACGCAAGAGTGTCTGGCTGCTTCTCTACAAGAGGGCTTGCTGAGTCAAAGAGAAATACATCTGCAGTTTTAGTGGATACTACCTGATTCTCCTTGATGGGGGTTCCCCACTGCCTTGCCAAAAGAGGATGGCTCCAAACTTGGATTTTTCCCAATTTGATTGATGAGAAACAGTACCTCAATTTAGTTTTAATTTGCATTTCTCTTATTTTAAATAAGGCCTGAAGTTCTTTTTCTGTGAGCTATCTCTTCATAGCCTTTCAAATTTTCATGTATATTTTTAAAAATTAAAATTTAGTTTTATCAAAGTATTATATGCAAATAGTTATCGGAGTCAAATAGTATTCAAAGACTTAATATGAAAAACAAAAATTTATCTTCACCTCATCTACTCTTCAGTGTTGCTCACAGGAGCCCACCTTTTTCAATGTTTAGATTTTTCTTCTGATATTATATTTCTACAAAATATGCTTACCCTGCTCTTTCTTGATTTCTCAGTGTTAAACATTTGTGAATTTCTAGTATTTCTGATAAGGACTTATACCTAACTCTCTTACTGCATACTCAACTATACCTAACTCTCATCCTACATACTTTCCTTCTCTATAATTTCTCAATATAATGTTATCACATTAAAAAAAAATAAATTTGTATAAAGAATTTACATTATGTCCATGAAAACATTGTTTCCTGTGGAGCCAAATTGTGTGATATGATATTTCCTTTCTTGTAAACTCTTTGCTTTTTCTGAAATTAATAATTCACTTTTCCATTTGCTTTGGGCATATCTTCTGCTCACAGCCTCTCCATAATAATCTTTCATGTGGTCCAATGCAGCAGAAAATGCACCAGTTCCATTGCTCCCCAGAATCTTCCTCACTTCCATCAACCTATATATGTTTTCTGGACCTGCAGCCCAGTTATTGTCTAGCTGCATATGAAAACCATGGTGGCTATACACAAGGATTATATTAGTAACTCAGACAATGTAGTTCCCTTTGAGGGCCTGTTTAAAAGTTTTGAGTGGAATGAGGAAGTTGGGAAATATGTAGAGCTGAGACTGAGAAAAGGGTGAGGGTGACTGAAGCTTCGAAAGTTGCTCAGAACATAAATTAAATGTCAAACAGCCAAATGTCAAGGAGTCCAAACATTTTCATGGCAGAAAAATTGAGGGGAGTGGAGATTTAACAATCATATTAATGTTTTAAAAATTTTATAAGACCACTGGTGTCTTTACTACCAGTAAAGCTGTCATTTGTGCTATGTTGGGCAGGTCCCCACATCAAAGTCATTGGAAGGGGTTGTTCATCTTGCATAGTGAGCCCACCTCCCAAAGGATCTCCATGTGAACCAGTGGTTCTTGCTATTTGGTGCAGGGAGTAACTCACTGACGAAGACGGCACACTCCACAAATGATGTTGACCACGTTGTGATTTCCAGGGCTGGCAGAGGGAGGGAGCCCTGGCGATAAAGGGAGGGTCATCAGGCATCTCTCAGTCTTACTGATGACTGGCCCCTCCTATATAAATATAAAAGCTTCCAGGCCGAGTCTGAGTCAACAGTAAGCTCCTTTGTTGCGGCCGATGCCGAAATCCCTGCCTGGGCTTGGCCCCTACCTTGCACCTCAGTACCTCAGTCTTTGGGTCTGGTTCCCTGAGGTCATGATAAGGAGACTTTGACTTCTTGCTACAAAAATCAAACATGAAGCCAAGAATGGGAGGGTTATTGTGGACACAATCTATTAATCATTATTATATATTAACCAATTACTGGATGGCAGGAATGTGGGTGAGAGGCTGCTCTTAAGCTATGTTTAGATGTTGTAATCCTTTTGCTTTTTCTCCATAATGTGTAAAGTGTCTAAAAAGGAGCCAGCAAGTGTAGGTGATAGAATGAGTGCCAAGGAAACAAGTATGAGGAGAGGCCATTTGGGTCTGGATTAAAAACCTAGATCACGGCAGAAGTGTTGAGGATTGCTGCTTCCACAATTGGTACACCTGGTAAACTCTAGTGAACTATTGCTTGTACTTCTAGCATTGAGCTCTGTATTTTATACTTTTTTTTTTTTTAACCCTCACCAGAGGATATTTTTTCCATTGCTTTTTAGAGAGAGAGAGAGGGAGAGAGAGAGAAGCATCGATGCGAGAGAGACACATTGATTAGTTGCTTCCTGCACGTACCCAGACCAGGGTTAGGGATCGAGCCTGCAACTGAGGTATGTGCCCTTGGCTGGAATCGAACCCAAGACCCTTCAGTCTATGGGTCGATGCTCTAACCACCAAGCCAAACTCTTTAGGGCTGTATTTTATACTTTTAATATTGTCCTTTTGGCAGAACCACTATGATGGTTAATATTTAGGCACTATAGATCTATAATCCCTTATCTGTCTTCCGATCCTAAAACAGTTCTGTTTGGTGGGTGTTTCTGCCCCAGGGTAGAAGTGCAATCAAGTCCTTTGAATTTTCAATAAAATGTTATCTCTGTTATCTCCATTTCTTGTGTCTAGGGCATGTGAATCTTCTTTCAATTAAATCAGAAAGCCTAATCTTCTTCTGTTTTGAATAATGTGCCATGCAGTTTTCAACTAAAACACAACAGAGAAATACTTTCATTATTAACATATCAAGTTCTGAACTTTATCCCTGGATCAAGGACATAGATGTGAAACTGTCCCTGCATGGACATGCCTTTACAGAACTAGATTCTAATGTGGTAAACATCAAATGGTCCACGGGAAGAACTGGCCCCATGCAGAACATCTGCGTTTTTGATAAAACTGCCTCGGAGCTCACCATTCATCACATTGCTCA